ATCGAATAATTTGAAGAATAGCATTCCAATGTGGTACTCTAGGTACTCTGGGAGCACTCATGAACTGACTTATAACACTAACTGCATATGAAATGTCAGGTCGGGTGATAGTGAGATAAATTAATTTCCCAACCAGACGTTGATATCTGCCATGGTCGTCAAATAAATCACCATCCTCAAGTAATAGTTTTATATTTGGATCCATAGGAGCATCAACGGGGCGACTACCTAACATACCTGTTTCTTCTAATAAGTCTGACACATATTTCCTTTGAGATAGGCTTATACCTTCCTTGGATCTAGCAACCTCAATACCCAAGAAATATTTGAGTTTGCCTAAATCCTTAGTGTGGAACCAATTCTGCAAGAACAAATTCAACTTTGCGATGCTGTCAGAATCATTACCTATTATAACAATATCATCTACATATACCACAAGAAATATAAAGCCAGTTTTAGTATGCATGTGAAATACCGAATGATCTATCTGGCATCTGTTAAGGCCGAAGGAAAGTGCCGCCTCGGAGAATTTTCCAAACCAAGCCCATAGAGATTGCTTTAATCCATACAGGGCCTTCTTAAGGTGACATACAGCATAACGAGAATCCCCTTGAGCAACAAAACCTGGTGGTTGCTCCATATAAACCTCTTCATGTAAGTCACCATGCAAGAAGTTATTTTTCACATCTAATTGAAACAACGGCCAATTACAATTGGCAGCAATGGAAATAAGGATTCGAATAGAAGAAATCTTCGTAACCGGGGAAAAAGTCTCATCATAATCAATACCATAGGTATCGGTGTATCCCTTTTCAACAAGGCGAGCCTTCAACTGCTCAACAGACCCATCATGGAGATATTTGACCGTGTATACCCACTCACAACCAACCGGTTTGGAATCAGGAGGTAAAGGAACAAGATCCCATGTCCCATTATGATGAAGAGCATCCATTTCATCTATCATGGCTTTGCGCCAATCTGTACTAGACAGAGCATCCTACACATTCTTCGGAATAACAGTTGCAGATAATGTGGATAAAAAACAAGAAAAGGAGGGTGATACATTGTTATAGGAAACAAAGTTAAAGATGAGATGTGCAGTGACATAAGAACGAATACCTTTGCGCAACGCAATAAGAAGATCATCAGTAGCAAGAGGAGCCTCAATAGAAGTAGACAATTGGGGGGGGGGGGGGGGGGGGGGTTGCTACTTGTGATCGTCGACTATACACTTGAAGTGGCTGTGGTAATTGAGGTGGTTGTGGCACTTGAAGTGGCTGTGGTGGGTCACAGTCTGATAACACAATAGGCAATGGAAGCAACAACTCGGAATCTAAAGACAAACCACTTGAAGAGAAATAAGGAGTGTCCTCAAAAAAGGTAACGGTCATGCACACAAAAGCACTACGAGTGCTAGGATCCAAACATTTATAACCTTTTTTAGTCCGAGAGTACCCAACAAAGACACACTTAATGGCACAAGGAGACAATTTATCAGTGCCAAGGCGTAATATGCGAGCAAAGCACACACACCCAAAAACACGAGGAGTCAATGCAAACAATAGCCGAGTAGGAAAAACAAAGGAATAAGGGCATTTCCAATTAAGAATGGAAGATGGCTTACGATTAATTAAATAACAAGCAGTTAAAACAGCATCGCCCCAAAATGCCTTTGGAAGACGCATATGGGTCATCAATGTCCGAGCTATTTCAATTAAATGCCTATTTTTCCGTTCAGCTACGCCATTTTGTTGGGAAGTATAAGAACAAGAAGTTTGGTGCAAGATACCACGAGAGTCACAAAAAGTAGAAATAGCACCTTTGACATATTCTATAGCATTATCAGATTGTAAAGTTTTTATAACACAACCAAATTGGACCTCAATTTCTTTAAAAATAATTGAAATATGGAAAAAAGTTCAAAACGGTGTTTCATTAAAAACAACCAAGTCATCCTTGAATAGTCATCAACAAAAGTAACAAAATAAGAAAAACCTGATAGACTAGTGTGACGAGAAGGACCCCAAATGTCCGTATGCAGCAATTCAAATAAAGAAGACCAACGATTATCAATACGAGGGGGGAAAGGCACTCTATGGTGCTTACCTAGCTGACAAGACTAACAATTTAAAGTAGACTTTAAAAGGTAATGCAGACTTTAAGTACCACAACGAGGGATGACCTAACCGATAATGCCACTGGTATACAGACATCTGGGAATGTAGAGCAACACCACTAGTGGAAGGTTGGCAATCCAAATAGTATAAGCCATTTCTGTTAATGCCCCCACCAATCGTCTTTTTCGTGTTGAGGTCCTGAAAGACACAAAACGACGGATAAAATGTGACAAAACAATTGAGTGCTTGAGTCAGTTTAGTGACAAATAATAAATTAAAGGGAAATTATGGAACTAATTGCACAAAAGATAATGAAATGGATGGAGTTAGTTTAATTGTTCCCTGGCCAATAATGGACCATGTTCTACCATCAGCCAAAGTAACAAAAGATGAGGAGCTAAACTTTTGAAAATTAGAAAATAGAGATTCATCACATGTGAGATGGGTAGATGCCCCAGAGTCAATAACCCAAGGGGAGCGCTAAGTCTGTAAATCGAATAAGCATGCAATATTACTTGATTGCGCAAAATTAACCACATCAGTAGAGTTGGGATGTGTCCGGTTGACCAAGGCACTGAACTCAGCTCGTGATAGTGTCACGCTGTCACTAGTAGATGCATGTGACGGCAATACAGAAGTCTGAGAAGGCGGGTGGTTGAAGTCAAGAGAGGGATGAGACCTAGCAATGTCAGAGGAAGACAGTACTTGATTTACCCACGTTGGTTTCCATAAAGAGCCCAACAGTGCTTAACAGAATGGTTAGTACCTCAACAGTGACTGCAGTAGCGAGTATTAGTACGTCCACAACCACGGCAACTGCGACCTCTATCACGGCCACCACCGCCACGAGAACCACTCGAATTTCCTCCATACCCTTTGTTGCTACTAGGAGTATCACTGACTCTATAGAACTATGTGGAGAGATAGAATGAATCATCATAGCTGAATTTTCTTTCACAGTGGACATCCCATGTGATTGTTTAGAAACTTGAAGTAATCGGGCATAAATGTTACCCAAAGATGGGAGTCCTCCATCACCAGCAAGGATTTGATCCCGAATATTTTGAAGGCTAGGATCCAAACCAACAAGAAAAATGGAAACATAAAATTCCTCACGTTGTCACTTGAGAACGGCAACATCAGTAGTTAAGGGATGGTATTAATTCAACTCATCTAACAAGCTTTTGAAAGCACTGTAATACTCACCGATGCCTTGACCAGATTGACGAGAACGGAACATCTTCTCATACAGTGAATATATGCGAGAAACATTGGTGTCCATAGAGTAGGTCTCTTTAACTGCATCCCATATTCCCTTTGCAGTGTTTACAAACATAAAAGTGGATGCAATGAAAGGTGCCATACTATTCCACAACTAGGACATAACCATATAGTTATTAGTTTCCCAGTCCTCATACGATGTTGATGTTTTAGATGGAGGGTCATCTATAATAAACTTTAGCTTTTGTCGAGCGCCTAAAGAGATTTTCATTGCTCGAGCCCATAGTAAGTAATTGGAATTACTTAATTTCATAGTTGTAATTTGCAACCCGACAGGATCAACATATGTTGCAGGAGATTTAATTCCAGTAGACTAAGAAGCAACAGTTGAAATTTCCGACATGGATTTAGTGCCACAGAAACAGAAGCAACTGCTGAAACAAAGTAAATGTATATGTAAACTGAAAAGAACTTATCTATCCCAAGTTAAAGTCACACTGATGCCAAATCTGTCTCGAGAAGAACCCAAGAGAAACAAAAAAAGAAAAGAAACTGCTACACCAGAGAAGGCCAGAACAGAACTGAACAATGCAGGAAGAAGAAAGTAGAACAGAACAGACCCAGATCAGGAAAAACATGGTCGAATCGGACCCGGATCAGAAAAGGATTCGGGTCGAACCTCAAACTGGATCTCAAATCAGGTCGGATCTGTAATCGGGTCTCTGCAAAACTGGCTTGGGGGAAAACCGGTCTAGACTAACCCAACTTCAGTGGCCAAACACCTCAAATCCCATCGCCAATCACCCCTCTTCTTCTTCACCTTCAGTCCCAATCTACGGCTCAACAACAGCAAGCCCCAAACGAAGAAGCCGACCACAAAAACAGTCACAAAGGGCAACTACACAACCAATCGACACTGGCGACAGCAACACAGATGGTCGTCGATTAAGAAAAACGACAACAATCAGCGACCGCGGGACTGGTTCGAAGCAAGAGATCAGTGATCACAGTGAATCACCTAACAGCGAGGACAGCCTCACGAATCGAATCTCTCTCGAAGCTAGTACACACCTTAGCCAATGATTACCCAACTCGTAGAGACAGCGGCAATGATTGTCGCTCTGATACCATGTGAAATAGATACAATTCAAGAGAGAGAGAAAAAGCAGATTGATATGAGAGAGAGTACAAAAAAGAGAGGCGCAACCCTCTGGTTCTCATCATCTTTAAACCCTAAACATAAAAGGGTATATATGAAATACAAGAAAGGCATATTTGCATAATGGCCACAAACCCTATATATAATTACAATCTAACCCCTACACTAATATATATTTACATATGAATGTTCTTAAACTATCCATTTCACACTCTGATGCCACTACTCAGGGTAAACATATATCTAACTCCTTCCAAAAGTACTAATACATGCTCAAGGGTACAACCAATATCATAGATACCACTAATTTTAGTTCACAATATAGATAAGTTGCAACATCCAACCAACTATTACATGCATTAATAAATTTAGAAAATAAAAAATAAAAAGAATGCTACTTTCCCTTAATATGAGAGATCAAAGAATCAGAATTGACCCATGATGGTGACAGACAACAAGAAGTGTGGCTAAAATTAGTGAAGCGAGGAATTCAAAAGGATTACCTATTTAGGCAGAAACTGCAATTTTACTCGCACTTAGTAAGCAAGACAAAAAGCTCTTCGTCCGTTATTGCTCCCATCTCCATAGCCCTTTCCAGTGCATCTAGGCCGCCACCATCTTTAATTGATGAGCATGCACCTCTGAAATTTATGCATGTCAGTGAAGGCATAACTGGAATAGCTGGGTGCAATTAGGAGCAACTCAAATGTTTTTAAATATAATTAGGAGCAATCCAGTTCGGTTTGCTCCCTGGCATAGCAAATATCAATTACTTTCGAATTTAAGTACAACAATCAATATTAATAAGACTGACGCTTTTACAAGAATGGAACGCTGTCGAGTACATGAAATTGAACACTACTAGATTTGTAAATATGATATGGTAGATATTGATAACAGAACTAATGTGAGGCTGTGAGCATATAAAGGTGAGGGCAAGTTACTTGCAAGAATATAAAGAATGCAATCCATACGTGCTGTATAAGGGATCATTTGATTCAACTCAAGAGTTTAAGTTAATGATGTACCCACAAATAATTACAAACTTGACTATAAATATATGCAGTCAGAAGATCTGAAAGCAGTTTGTTCACAGGAGAACAAAAAATCATCGTAAAGAATTTTCACACAGTTGAAAAATTGGGTAATCTTACGACACCAGTTCTAGTCTAGCAATATATACACAACAAAGAAATTATTTCACCTTTTCCAACAAAAATCCCTTATTGAAATTAAAACAAACAAAAAGAACATCAAGCAATATACTCCTAGACGAGTAACTTGCTACCTTAAGGGATTTCAATCTAAGACTTTCCAAATACGTATCCCAAATTGTGATTCTACACTATAAGTTCTTGCACCAGATGAGGTGTCAAGGAATAAAGGAAAATGTTAGATACTTGGCCTCTTTAATTACATCCCAATGCCCTATTGTTTTCATAGGGAAAAAATGCCCATTACTTAGAAAAAATTAAATACAGTAGAAGGTTTTAGATGTAATAACCAGCTACAAGGTTCTTGGAAGGTTTTTAGATTTGAAAGTTTTAGATGTGTACATTTGGCATCTAATAATCGTTGCTTGAACCTAAGAGTCTCCATAATCAAGTTCTTTGTGCAACTTTTTGTCAAGGGAATTTTTTTATTTATCTTTTGAAGTGGGACCACAAACCAAAAGCATCGTCTCACCAATATAATTTAATCTGAGAGAAACTTTGTAATACCACCAATAATTCAATATAATGAAGTTCTTTTCTTCTTAATCCAGGAAAGAAAAACAATAGATTTACCAAGTTCCACATGAGTGGTCTTCAATAATAGTAGATTTACCAAGTTTCATGTTTCAAATGAACGAGTCTCACTGATAAATACCTTCTGAGTAGAAATTTTGCCAATTGGTTGTTCCCTTTGGAGATGCAATGGTGCAGAGGAGTCCTTCCATGGAAGTCACACCTGTTTATATCTGCACCAAATTGTAGTAATAGCTCGAGCATCACCGAATTGTCAGAGTGACAAGCCAGATGCAATAATGAACAACCTTGAAGACAATTTTCTGGCGCACTAGAATCCTGGATTTTCTGACAGGCCGCTGGACTGTATTGTTTCTTTTCCACAGCACGATAAGGTACTTGCAAGTCTTGATCATTAACATGATGGTATAAATTGACACCAATTACTTCATCGTAAATGGAATTGACAATGGCCATATCTGAAGTAACAATTAGGCGATATACTTCCCGCAAATTATTGGCCTTAACTGCTTCCCAGATGCTGGTGGTGTGAGAAATAATGCCAGATGCAGTTGCTTTCTTATTGACTAGCAGTTTCTCGACATACTGGATTAGAAAAATTAAAATCAGGCCTTATTTCTATGATTACACCTTCTTCCTCGAGTTTACAGCGGGGAATTTGTTAAACTGATTATAAACAACAGATTGTAGGACATGATTATGGCAACAATCAGGGAAATATGTTCGAAGTTCTTACAAAAAGAAGTTGTATTTCTCAAAGGTACAAAATGAAGAGTTCTATATGAAAGAACATAAATGTATAATTAATACATCATAATGATCACACTTTCATATAACATCAAATAACCTACCAGACACAGCTACACATCAAACAGTGAAATCAATGTAGGAATTACTTCACATTTGGCATGCAATGTTTAAGCAACGATTTTAAATGAACAGATTTGCTCTCATTTCTTCTCTTTTAATTTTTAATGTTTGTGAGGCCATGATACCTACTGAACATCCCTGAAGGATTGAATAAACCAGAAACTTCCTAGCATTCATATCCAAAATTATTGTGGCACCAATATGGGATCAAGATATATATTGGCAATGCACAACTTCTTTAAACAGGTCCTTACACAATCAGGGCAGGAGATGGGCAAGGAAGAAACATCGGAATGGAATGGATCTGTAAGAAAACTGATGCTGCATATAAACTTATCACCTCAAAGTAGAGGTATTGGAATTGTACTAGAGATAAGATTTAACACGCACTAGATGTAGAAAGCATTGATGCATGCTGACTTTCAGTAAGGCCTGAAGATACCTCATTTTCGTCGACCAAAATGGTCTACAAATTTCTGTACGGTTGGAAAACTTCTGCAGAACGGAGAATATAACATGGGCTACAGTAAATGCAATGTTACAGGATATCACATGTTTAATTTCTCAACTTCACTGGAGAGAAAAGATGGGCCCTAGTCTTAGTATTTTATTTATTTATGTTTTTCAGAATTAAAATATTGGGGTAAAAAGGAACATCTAAAATTATGTTACTAAAAAAAAGTAAGAAAATGAAAGGAAAAGAGCAAGTACAGAAACTCAACCAATAATTGAAACATCAAACTAACATGTGATGGCTGCTTCAAATATAAAGTATATCTAGCATACAAGGATATTTTTGTCCAATAAAGCAGAAGGCAACCAAGCAAGTGCCATTGTTATGCAAAGATCACCAGTAAAATAATTGAAGCATCTCAAACTATTAATAAGAAAATTGCCTCTAATGCAACCAATGATTAAATTTTCATACACAATGACTGTAAAGATATACCTTTGCTTGAATGTATTTCTCCTTTTGTTGAATGACATCTTCAGGGCATGGTTTTGTAACTGATAAAAAAACACTTGGACTCCTTATTCTGCATGAAGATCATTTCAGTCATCAGTGTTAGATTTGTGCAAACAGTAAAGAGAAGAGAAGAAATCTGTAGTTGCTGTTATTCGATAATACAAAGTAATACAATATATAAGAATATAAAATAACCTAAACTAATAAACTGAGGGAAAGGACAAGACTGCCCTCAAATATAAAACTAATCAACCCCTCCCCCTTCCCCCCCCCCCCCCCCCCCCCCCCCCCCTTCTTTCTCAAACTCACGATGTGATAGAAAGAAGCATCGAGAGTTTGCCTAGAAGAAAACGAAAACGCATAATAGTATGAGACTTCATGAAGAAGTCAGCCAACAACATTGTAGAAGAAACAAAGGGGAGAAAAATATTGCCAAGCTGAAGATGATGGCGAGTGAAATGACAATCAATCTTTATGTGCTTTGTACGCTCATGAAAAACAGAATTGTGTGCAATCTGAATGGCACTCTTGTTATCACAATACATAGGCGTTGGAGCTGGCAAAGAAACACCCATATCAGCAAGTAATCATCGCAACCAAACTACCTCGGCTGTAGTGGCAGCCATGGCATGGTATTCAGCTTCAGCAGAAGAGCGAGAAACAACTGTTTGGATCTTGCTTTTCCAGGAAATGAGATAATCACCTAGAAAAACACAGAAACCAGTGGTAGACTTACGGTCTGTTGGATCCCCAACCCAATCAGCATCAGAAAAAGCTCAAAGTTCCAAAGGTGATGTAGAAGAAAACAACAAACTCTGGTGTATAGTACCACGAAGATAACACAAGATACGAAGAACTGCAGCCCAATGCATAGTAGTAGGAGAGGATACAAACTGACTGACAATGTGAACTGCATAGGTAAAATCAGGTTGAGTAACAGTGAGATACACTAAACTGCCAACTATAGCACGATATAAACTGGGATTTGCTAAAGGAACACCATAAGTAGAACAATAGCGAACATTAAGCTCTAGGGGAGTCTCAACTGTCCGACAATGACTTAGAAAGAAGATAGCCCTTGGGAGAAGAGGCTACTTCAATGCCAAGAAAATAGCGAAGGGGACCAAGATCCTTCATCTCAAACTGTTGTTGAAAATGCAACTTCAAAAGAGCAATGCCAGCTTTGTCATCACCGGTCAGAATCATGTCATCAACATATAAGAGGAGAATAATGTGACCAGCAGAAGTAGAACGAAGAAAGAGAGCTGAATCATGATCACTAGGTTAAAAGCTAAAGCCACGTATCACTCTAGAAAACTTCTCAAACCAAGCTCTAGGAGCTTGCTTGAGACCATACAAAGCCTTCTTGAGTTTGCACACCTCTCCAGGATTATGTGGAAGACTAGGAGGAGGAATCATATAAACTTCCTCAACCAAATCTCCATTTAAGAAAGCATTTTTCACATCCATTTGAGAAAGGTCCCACTGACGAACTGCTGCGACAACAATTAAGACACGAACAGTTGTCATTTTAGCAACAGGAGCAAAAGTCTCCTCATAATCAATACCATACTCCTGTGTGAATCCCCTTGCAACCAAACGAGCTTTATACTGCTCTATGGAACCATTAGACTTGGTCGTAATTTTATAAACTCATCGAAAACCAACCGCACGTGTATCAGGGGGTAAGGGTACCAAATCCCATGTGCCAGTCTTATGCAAAGCAGAGAGTTCTTCATCCATAGCTTGTTGCCAATGAGAATCAAGAACAACCTCCTTATAGGAGTTAGGTTCAGAAAGTGAATGAATAGATGCCAAAAAGGAACAAAAATTAGAGAAACCAAAACGATCAGGACACTTACGAACTTGTTGAGGAAAGCGAGGAGGTGCAGGATCCACATTTTCAGAATCCAATGGAGAGTCGGCCGAGAGAGGTGGAATTGTACCTGCAGAAGAAGTTGTATTCCTATGATGGTAAGTGTGAATAATAGGAGGGACAACAGGATCGGATGTAGGGATGGAGGAAGATCGAACATCTGGAATAATACTGAAATTGTCTTAAGAAAAGGGATCAATGTGAAGAAGATCAGGTTTACTCAAAGTGCTAGAACTAGCAGGACTAGTGATGCAGGCAGAATTTCAAATTTCTGCAAGGGAATTTGTGTTTTTCAGAAATTTTCCATATTTTGAAAGTTTCCTTATTTTGAGCAGTTTTCTTATTTTCATCAGCTTTCCTTTTTGAGTAGTTTTCTGATTTTCAACCGCTTTCCTGTTTTGGTTTTATTTTATATTTGGTAGTTAGTTAATATAAGGTTAGGATTGGGGAGGAAGAAATTCTATATAAAGCCTTGTAATTTCTAGGGTTTAATCAGTTTTTTTTGAAGAGCTGATGGCCTTACCAAGAGGAGACAATCAAATTGTCTTTCACAGCAATTTTAAAACGAAATAAAAGAACGATGCAAGAGAAAAGGATAAATTGCAAAGCAAATTTTATTTGCTGTAAAAATAATAATAATCTTTGATGCCGCCTTACCAAGAGGAGACAATCAAATTGTCTTTCACAGCAATTTTAAAACAAAAAAAGAACGATGCAAGAGAAAAGGAGAAATTGCAAAGCAAATTTTATTTGCTGTAAAAATAATAATAATCTCTTCAAAAAAAAACTAATTGAACCGTAGAAATTACAAGGCATTATATAGAATTTCTTCCTCCCCAATCCTAAGCTTATATTAGCTAACTACCAAATATAAAATAAAACCAAAACAGGAAAGCGACTGAAAATCAGAAAACTACTCAAAAAGGAAAGCTGATGAAAATAAGAAAACTGCTCGAAATAAGGAAACTTTCAAAATATGGAAAATTTCTGAAAAACACAAATTCCCTTGCAGAAATTTGAACTTCTGCCTGCATCAGTCTCCCCGTGTTGGAAAAAACTCGCCCTCGAGTTTGGAGCAATTTTCCACGATCAATCAAAAATCCAAGCATGGCTTTCCATCCCTTCTTTCTTCTTTTCCGAACTCGAATCAAATACGTTAATCTTCTTATACAAACAAAGAATACAGTTGCAGAACAAACATGAATTTTGTTAGATGTTCTTTGAAATTGGGTAGGTTCACAAAACTCGGTATCCTAAACTAGAAGTTTAATCAACTTTAATTTCTCTTCCAACAACCACCTAGTAGTTGTATTGCGCTCCAAGAATTCAATCCAAACCATGTCATAAAAGTAAAATCCATTATTTTTCATCTCCATGGATCCAAAATCTTCATGATCAACCAGGCATAATTCATCTTGAGATCTTTCTTTTGTAGCTTCCTTACCATCCTCATGTTTTAGAATCAACAGTGGCTTTTGCATAACCAAGAATTCACCTATATCTCCATATATGATATCATCCTCTTCCTCCAGGTAATCATCATATTTTGGCTTGACCATTGGGGTTGCATCATCTTCCTCGATCAAAGGTTGTTTTTCTTCTCCACCAAAATTTCCTACCAATTCAGGAATTTTCTCCATAAACTCACCATCCCAACGACTTTCATCAAGTAGAATAGGTGTTGGTTTAGGTGTTGTATTGCTGCAAAAAGGATTGAAAAATTCCTCTTCATAAAAATCAGAAATCTGGAAATTGATATTTGTCGGCCAACAACGATCAGTCCGCTCATCAAGTAATCTATGGCGACATGAAAAATATGAAATTTTCATAAGTCTCAGTGTCTAACACATCCTTATCCACCGAAACATTGTCATCAACCAGCGTGTTGACAACACGTTGACCCAATAGTTGAGTCAACAACTCAACTTGTCTCAGCAAAAACTCTCTCTCGCTTTCATGTTGCATGGGTAAGGGTTCAGCCAAATTCTGCATCCTACGATTTCCTCCTCTCGGTTGTTGTCGTGGAGGCATGACTGAGCAGCCGGAAAGCCGAACCTAAGCTCTAATACCAAACTGATGCCGCCTTACTAAGAGGCGACAATCAAATTGTCTTTCACAGCAATTTTAAAATGAAATAAAAGAACGATGCAAGAGAAAAGGAGAAATTGCAAAGCAAATGTTATTTGCTGTAAAAATAATAATAATCTCTTTAAAAAAAAACTGAATGAACCCTAGAAATTACAAGGCTTTATATAGAATTTCTTCCTCCCCAATCCTAACCTTATATTAGCAAACTACCAAATATAAAATAAAACCAAAACAGGAAAGCGGCTGAAAATCAGAAAACTACTCAAAAAGGAAAGCAGATGAAAATAAGAAAACTGCTCAAAATAAGGGAACTTTCCAAATATGAAAAATTTCTGAAAAACACAAATTCCCTTGCAGAAATTTGAAATTCTGCCTGCATCAACTAGAGAAGAAAGGAATGTGCTCAAGAAACACTACATGATGACACATATACAGTTTATGTGCAACAGGATCATAACATTGATACCCCTTTTGACCTTCAACATAACCAAGAAACACACACATCGCAGAACGTGCAGACAACTTAGTACGAGCTGCTAAAGAGAGAAGAACAAAACAGCTGCAACCAAAAACTTTCAAGGAAAAATAATCTGGAGGCTCACCACACAATTGTTCAAAAGGAGAGATACCCAAAATAACAACAGATGGTATTCTATTTATTATATGGATGGCAGTGAGAACAGCCTCCCCACAAAAACTACTAGGAACACTGGCAGATAACAAAAGAGAACAAACAGTCTCCATGATGTGCTTTCGTTCAGCAACACCATTCTGCTCAGGAGTTTCAACACAAGAGGATTGCAAAATTGTGCCATCGGATTGCAATAAGTCAAGGAAGGGACTATAACCATACTCTCCACCTAAATCATATCTAAAACATTTCATAACAGAGGAATATTGAGTGTGCAAAAAGCACTAAAGATGGAAAAGAATTCAGAACGACGCTTCATTAAATAAACCCAACAATATCGACTGTTATGACAAATACAACGAACCCAAGTTGAACCAAGAATCACGACAGAAAAGTAAACACGCCACACAAAGAACACAAAGATTTATATGTGGTTCGGCAACAGCCTACATCCACAGTTGGGATCCGGCGAAAG